TATATTGTAGTTATAAATCATAAAGATTACTTGAGCGATGAATTTAGATAAAGTCCATCGGGACTCTGGGACAATGTTTTTTCCAATTTCCGGGTAGTTTTCGGGTTTACATCTGTTTAATTTCGGGTAAGTTTCGTTGAGAATTACAGGTGAGTTGCACAGAAAATCATCGGCTACCCGCTATCATCGAAGCCGGTGGTTCAGGAGACGCATGGTCAATGCATGTTGTGGCGCAGATGACACACACGAGTACTCAACCTTCGAACACCAAAGCGGCACCGTTCTCGAAGCACGAAACCATCAAATTCGATCACTCCGATGATATGCACACCCCGAAAACTGCCGACGTACGACAAGTGAAAACAAGCGTTGATGCGCTATGTGCACAAACACATCGAGTTGATCAACAGGCAATATTCATTTATCTCTCTCAATGATCACCAAGAATTCACAAATACTTCGGCTGTGACAGAATCCGTCACAGAATCGATTGATCGCCAAGAAATTAGCCAAGCAGTTAGTTATTAGCAACTGGAAAGGAACGGCATAAAAACAAGCTCGCATAATCAATGCATACATGAGATTATGTATCTGTTGAATGTTTCAAGTCGAGAGTGAAATCGCTTTGTATACCTTTCTGCCACATCTAATAAATAAACTCACAAATTCTGATCAGTAAATTGTACAATATTGGAAAAATGACTAGTGGCAATTCAAATCTGCTTATGGAAAAAGAACAAAAGTAATCCCAGTGACTGAGGCACAACATAAGATTGTCCATTTGCCATCGGCCAGGCTATCAAACGTTATAAACGTTTGATAGCCTGGCCGATCCACGTAATCCAGGTAATAAGATTGTCCATATGTACATTACAAAAGCAATGTATGCAGCATGCATGACAACAGCGTTAAACTCAAAACTCGAAATTCTATTCGGTTAAACTCAAATCACGGTGCTACATCCGAGAGTCTATTTCAACGTATGTACTTCAGGCAGCCATGCATTTCGCCGAGCTGGTGCACAATCTTCGTGGTTTATCACAACAAGAGATCACCTCAATCTCAAACAAGGATTGCACGGCGTTCGTTGATGGACTAGCGATGTGTGGATCAGCCAACTGTATAGCGCATTTGGCCACGCTGATCAATCACGGTGCTGCATCCGAGAGTGTCTTCTCGGCGTTGGCATTTGTTCACAATCCCGATAAAGCAGTGATCGATCATGTGGCATCGTTCATCGCTCGTGTTCCTCATCAAGGTATTTCTTCAGCAATCATCTCGAAGTTTTCCCTAAAAACTGCACCTGAATATCAACAAATCAGAAACTTTTCAGTGAGAAGTATAGTTTTGTATGAAAACTGAAAATTGATCTGAAGTGATCTATCAATGAGAAAACATAGTATTTGAAAGTGTTGATCGAATGAATAGAATGATCGCCTAGCTGCTGCAGGTCTATTGGGTGTTACTTCTCTGGTACAATCCTACTGTTTATCGCATCCTCACTGCGGTACCGAACCCGGTGTGAAACGTATCATTGACGCACTTCTGCAGAAAATTCCTCGTGGATGCACAGTCGGAAAACATTTCGCTGAAGTGGAGGTGTCTTAATTGCAAATTCATTGGTCTCACCTGCTTAATTCACATTGTCGACGCAAATCATACACATCAGCGTTGACGATCCCATTGTCGTAATCATCTGTACATTCAAAATATCCATCCCTTACCAATATCATCAGAATATCCATCGCTCATCAATATTTCCAAAACATCCATCCATGGTCGATCTAATAGTAAAAACCTTTTGATAGCGATTAAAATCGCAATCGCAAAGAAACGATTTGCCTTCACTAATAAAGATTCGAACGGAAATTTGTGACCGACGAGCAAATTTACGAATTTCAGAAAGCAGTTTACGTACTGAAAGCAATAGGTAACATTGGAAATGAGGATATCTCATTGACATTGCTAAACGATTGCGTTGCAAATGAAAAGAATCCGCTGGAAGTGCAGCTGAGTGCAATCGATGCTCTCAGGCGAAAACCATGCACCGATAAACGCAATAAGAATATTGATCATTTGTTCTTCGATGAAGAGGTCAGTGATCATTATAGGTTTAATCAAAATAATAGTAATAATGAAATAATAATAATGACAGTAACTCATTTGTATACCGTATAATAATTCAATAACTGATAGCTACATGATTTTGATTACTGGAACGGATAATTAGATTCAAGCCAATCGTATCCTATTAGCTTGAACTGGATAACATCAGTAGAACACTCGAAACTTCATTTAAGGAGGATGAAGAGGTACGAATAGCGGCATTTGCACAATTAATGGAATGTGCTGATGAGGCGATTGTTGATAAAGTTATCGATCATTTCCACAACGAAACATCCAATCAGGGTTTGAGATTGAATATTTGATATTTTGGGGATTGAGCGCGATTTTGCGATGGAATACAACACAACATCCAATTGTAACGGCCAATGAATATTTCGGAATTTTCAAAAATATGAAACATTCATCTGAAAATTACATTCATTTGGAAATAATACAATGGAGAATTTAGTTGGTTCATATGTTTGGTCGTATTTGAATGCGAAACGACGTTCGTCGAAACCTGGAAATGAGGAGTTGCAAAGGATTCTGAAAAAGAAACACATCCCACAGCGTTTCGATTTGGATCCTCGTCGCTTCTCGCGTTTCTACGAAGTGGGATACTTCGATCCTGAAGTATGTTTGCATATCAATACAAAACTTCATTTTTATCATTCTCATTGTGAATGTCATCCATTTCGAAGGTGTATTTATGTGCGAATAACTTGTAGTGAAGGATTTCATATGTTGAGCAAATCTGATCCATATTGAAGGATATCCGAGAGATTGAAACTGACTCCTAAAAATATCAAATTCAGTCTCAGAAGATTGAATTTGTCAAAACTATATTTTTGCGTGAAAATCGAATCCAAATGATATCCGATAGAAGAGCAGGCATGAAAATGATCAACAATAACTTCATTATAGAACAATTACGGTGGACATATGGACTCATCGGTTATATTCTCACCAAAAGGCTATATACCACGCGGGGTGAACTTCAACTTCACGATACATCTCTTCGGAAAGAGGTACGTACTTTTAGATGCGCTCCAAAGGAAGAGGTCAACTGATCTCTTTAAAGTGTACTATCAACTTTATTGTAATGACAGTTAAAGTAGTAATAAGATGCTTCTAGTTTGAATATATTGGAACTGGATGCTCGGGCTGAAGGGCTGGAGCAGCTTGACAATGAACTGTTCGGCGCAGATGGCTATATCTCGAATCCAAACGGTCATGTCTTCCATGACAAAAAATTCCAATCGCATAATGCTAAAGTGAATCAGCTAAAAGTTTTGTTCCAGAAAAAAGGCGACTTCATTGAAGATCAACTCTCGGGCAGCTTATCTGCAAGGGTGAGTGAGTGGTGCACTCAATTTCATTTCCTTTATTAGATGTGTTTTGAGTTAGATGGATTTAGTGCCGATATTTTACAGGATGATCACATTATATTATTCATTTTAAGGTTTATGAATAACGATAGATTATATCCTTGCAATAATGATAGATTACATCAATAGATTACATTATATCCCATTATATCCTTGATAGATTATCATATCCTTATATCCAATTATATCCTTGAATTATATCCTTGCAATGATAGATAAATGATAGATTATATCCTTATTATGATTTGAATGAGTGCGATTTGGAATAGAAAATAATGGTTGATTGAATCGAAATGATAGCATTGAAATGATTTTTTAATTATATGACATTAGAGGAAGATGGATTTTGTATGGTGTAAATATAAAAATGGATTGATTGTTTTCAGATGTTTGGTGACGATGTGAAATACTTTGCATTCGAAAAGGACCATTTCTTCGAGAATGCGAAAGAGTATTTCGCATTGGATAAGACATTGCCGAAATTAGCGAAGGAAATGAAGTTTGAGGTGAGCATTGAAAGTTTAAATTGTGGCTGGTTTGGTGATAGGGAAGTATGTTGCAGGCGAAGGAACGGAGATCAACTTGAAAGGATTTGAATTCTTCAGGTTGATATGATAAGAGAAGATATTGGAGTTGGGAGCTTTTTAGCCATTTTGGGGTATAGACGAACGGCTGAATGAAAAATCTGCAATCCCTCCGATTTTTTAGAGGTTTCCGATAACATTTCATAAATTCAAATTCAAGAAAGAAAAAATTCACCTGAACAACTGTTGAGCTTTCAAATCAATGGAAAAGTTCAGATTCTTCGTGAAAGGAAAGGAAGTTTTTTTTTCAGAAATCACGGAATTTGATGCTGGTCGACGTACGTCGATTACTACCAACGGTTTGCGGTCTTCCTCTGCAAATCGCACTGAACGCAGCCGTGAAATCGAAAGTTTCATATAAAGCAAAATTGAATCTGGTCGATCTATTGCATCAACGACCAAATGCGGATGCTTTGGTCGGTAAATCACTTTATTCCATAAAAATCTTATTTCTTTCAAATTCAGTTGTTTATCTCACCTTCATTATTTAAAAACTGTTCTTGATTTCCTTACACAAACATTACTTAGTTTTTCAATTGATCCTCGATTGAGACTCGATCTTCAATTAATCAATTCTGATCCTCGAAGAGGATTTCCAATTGAAATCCCACTCGAGGTCAAACTTGAAGTATCGCCTCGATCAGACAGAAGAATTTGATACGGAACAATTCAAGAAAGTCATTTTTGGCTATTTCAGTTGGAAGCTCAGCCATCGGCATCAGTTTTCGCAACACTGTCAGTATCGTTGTTGGCTGCCGAGGCAAAATCCGGTGTTCGCTGCGAATCAACGTTATACTCAGCGACGAGTGTTTCTGGTGAAGTCTCACTTAAAGATGGCAAAAAATTCTTGGCGAAGATCAATCTACCTGATGACGATGCAAAACTGGTGCATTATGAGTGAGTTGTTCTGAAATTTTTGGTGTTCGTTTGCAGAATTTCTTCTGAATGTGATTGATTCGCCATCATTTTATTCACAAATCGGCAAACATTCGCTAAAGATTGTTGAAGATTTGCCTGAAATCAAGAGTTTAAGAACATGGTGGTGAGCATTCATGAAAGTTGAATGTAACAAATGAGGAAATCGCTCGAGAAACGAAAAATTTTCATCAAAAGGGAAAAAGAAATGAAAATGAAAGATCCTTTATTAAATGAACGGATGAGTGGAGGAATTGAACTGGCTTGCACATTCAATCATGTTACGGCGTAATGAAATAAGTTCAGACGGAAGATCTCACGAATTGATAATAATCGCATAACGGCAATTCCAACACCTCAAGCTCCAGGCTCTAAACATCACTATTGTACAAGTTCAACGACTGGTAAAGTGACTGGCCTGAAAATGTGTGCTGAGGTGAGCAATCGTTATTTTAGAGTGACATAATCTCACTTTTAATTAATTTGATCAACTCATAATCATTAACTGCCAGTGTTTTTGTCACTATAGGATCACCTGTTTGCTTGATCGAAACTGGTCCAATTCCGAATTAATTCAGATTATCTCGATTCAGCAATGAATTTGAAAATCTACGGCTGAATTGAAGTAGTCACTACAATAAATGAAATTTTTACAAGGCATAAAAAGCAGATGATAAACAGTAGAATGCGGAGATTTTTTTTTTGTTGGATTTGAATAGGATTGGTTTGGAGGAATTTCGAAGATCACATTAAAATTGTGTTGCTATCACAGGCAAGGCGTGATAAATCATGATCGTCATCTGAAAATCATCACACATTTTTCAGTGGCAAAACAATTATCCGTCTGTGCTCGCTGAAGTGTCAGTAGAAAAAGTGGACCCACAATTGAAATCGTATGAGCTGAAGATCGATCACGAAAGCAGTGTGAGTTTTACTCGTCAGTGATAATCCGTTTGATGGTTCATGGATCAAGCGATTGACTGATTTGTTGATGTCGATTTGGAATGTGAATGAAAATTGGTGAAGAGGGGAGAGGATCTGAGGGATATGCGACGAATGTGCTTTGTAGAAATGGGTAGAAATCTGCAAGTAGTCACTCTAGGAAACGAAGAAGACCTCTGACGACATCAATACATTTGATTTGTATTGTTGAGAGTTGAATTTCGGGCACGGAGAGTCTCAACTTCTATTGATTTGCTGCAGCATCTTTTTTAAAGTCGTAATAGCGATTTTCACAAACTGTTTTTATGGTCAAAGATTTTTATGATCACGCTAGCTTCAGGATGCTCATCAAAAGATGTTGATGAGCGTGGATACACCTGGTTCAAAGGTGAATCGCAAAATGGAGACCAGTTTTGACTTATCGATTCCGCGCAAAACGTTGAAAATGAACGTGATAACACCATTCAAGAAGATTATGGTCGATGGCAATCTGGTGGAGAAGAGACCCAGGCAGGAATACGATGCGAAGTTGAAGTTGAATATCGACGATCGAAAACACTACGATTTGGATGGCTCGTTCAAGGTGAATTATGAGACATATTTGGTGATATACGAGGAAACTTTCGAGTGAGAAATTAGAAGTAATAGAGATGAGTCGTTGAATTGGTGATGTTCTCTGCTGGTAGTTGGTCGGTATGCCGAGCGATTTTATAAAATGAAGTCGGAAGATAAGATAGAATTATCGCAGGAGTTTGTGATACAGTGCAAACACCGAATTTAATTGTAATTATTTGATGATGCAAACAGGCAGATGTCTACTGAACATCCATTAAGAATCAAGTCGAGTCAAGTATTACTCAAATGATATGAAAATTTAGGCTGGCACACACCAAGGCCGTACCAAATACACACTAACAGCAAAGACTCTGGCAGGCAGTGCTGAAACGGCGGATTTGAAGACGGAAATAGAATACAGCGGTCGTAAATCACCGTATGCAAGTGTTGACTTCCATCTGGATAAAGTTTTCGAGAAACCAATCGTTTTCAAAAGTTGGTTGTCACTTATTTGTTGATGATCAATTGTAAGTTCAACTGATTTTGCAACAGATCAATTGAAGTGTCAGTGGTATCCTCATTGGCAGTCAAATGAGGACACCACTGACATTTCAATCAACCTCACTAAATTCCACATTAGGAACGGGTTCAAGCTGATATTTCGAAATCTTTTTTTGATTGGAAAACTAATTATTGACGAAAGTTTTTGAATCAGCACTATACTGACTTCACTATCACACTAATCGCTGCATAACGATGATGGTCGAATGATTCGAGGAGATTGCGATAATTTGGAAGAATACATCGAACGGGTGTTCATTGGTGTTCATTTTTTTGGGATGTGAACTTCGAATCACGGTTCGAAAATTTTTTGACTACACTACTGAGATTCATTGCTTTCAGCATTGATGAATTTGGCCGGTCCACACTATCAGTCGAAACTGGAATATTCGGGACCAAAATTCAACGGTAAACTCGACGGTGACTTGCACCATACAGGAGGTTTCTCGTATAAAGGCTCGGTGAAGGGCGATTATCAAGTGGGAAACGAGAAGAAACATCTGCTGAATATCGGTAGCGAACAAACGTTCAAGGTAGTGATGAAATGAAATGCTTTTTGCATGCAAAAAATATTTCATCATCAATGAAATGATGATGAAATAGTTTTTGCATGTTTACTTCCATGTGGAGACAAAGAAAGTTTTGAATGGGATAAGGCCTCCTTTATCCCTCTCATTCGCATATGTGAATTGCGAAATATATCTTTGTTTGATATCTGCTAATAAGGAATATCTTTTTGAATCAAATGTCATAGCGTTATCGTATGCACTTTTATCATGATCGCTGCTTTCATGAGAGATTAAACTAGTGCATGTTGTTACGATTTTCATGATTCATCGCTCACGAGTCAGCGGCTGAAAAAAAGCCGGGGATTTTCGGGGACGATGAATTGCTTGAAAATGTTTACATTCATGTTTACATCCATTGATGATGAAATACTTTTTGCATGTTTACATCCATGAGAAGACAAAGAAAGTTTTGAATAGGATAGATAAGGCCTCCTTTATCCTACTCATTCGCATGTGTGATTTGCGAAATATATCTTTGTTTGACATCTGCTAATAAGGAATATCTTTTTGAATCAAATGTCATAGCTTCACTATCGGATGCTCTTCTTTCATCAGAGAATAGACTCGTGCATGCTATTTAAATTTTTATGATTCATCGCTCACCAGTCCGTGGCTGAAAAAATAATCGGAGACTGGGAGAATCAGGGATTTTCGGGGACGAATCCCCGACATTCCCCGCATCAGACTAGACTTAATTACTGTACCATAAAGAGGCTCACCTTGTGAATGGAGATAATATGAATGAAGTTGAATGGGATATGAAAGTGTGCGATTTGCAGATGAAAGGCAAAGATCACAATCTGAAGAATTCCATCAGTGTTGAGTCAAGTTCGCTGGGTAAATACGACTATACGGTTTATTCGAAACGTGAAGGAAACGACATGAAGAACGCCATCGAAGTGGATTATCGAGGAAAGAAGTCAACGGTGAACGTGGACATCAAACGCAATGCAAACGATTTATATACGGCAATTGCGACGGTATTCATTTCTTTTTGCGAGATATTTCCATATTGTGCGTTTTGAGATATAATTGGCGATTTTATGAGGATAATATGTTTAAGGGACGATATGTTAAGATGCAAATCGTGCTAATACAAAGTATTAAATACTTTTATTGACAGTACTTGAGATTAGGATAATTCTGAGCCAGTTATATATACATGCGACTTATTAGATGTAACGATAGATATAAGAACTCCTCAATGAAACGCAATGTTTCATTATCTCATCTCATTTTGTCAGCTTAGCTGCCCGAGACCTTTCTACCTGACCTAATAGTTAATTCAAGCTATTGAGGAACAGTCCTAATAGCACTTTGCAGAATGACCTTCAACTTGTGACCTTGTGCTCATTGATTACAATTGAAGGTCTTTACCTAGAGGTTTTTGAGACTCTGATCCGGGCCATTGATGATTTTATGAATGAAGTTATGGAGTTGGTGATGAGTTATTGATGAGGAGATAGTTTCGGGAGAAAATGCTGATGATCGTCAAAAATTGCAGGCAAAATGCGATCGACTTGGAGTGAACCACAAGGCGAATATTGCCTATCAAAATAAGTTCCCAATGCAATTCCAACTGAAAGTTGACGCCGAAACACCGACAATGAAAAATATTCATGCTGGTGTGGAATATCAAATGAGGGTAATTTCTTTCTTTTTTCAGAGTCCTTTTGAAAAAAATCTCCGCAGTTTTGTAAGGTTGTTTTACGTTAGCTTTCAAAATTTGTTTGACTGATTCTGTGACGGCAGAAATTCTCATTCTCAGTGTTGTTCTTGGTTTTTTGAGTGAATTTTCAACATTTTCTAAGTTTCTCCTTCATTTACAGTCCAGTCCAAAATGGACGTTCAACGGAAAAGCGCGATTGGCCTATCCAGGTAAAGAATTCGTGGCCACCGAACATATTGACGAACAGGTTGCTGGTAAATATAAGGCAGTAACAATGGTACAATGGGATCGAAACGGTAAAGTGGACGTGAATTCAGAGATTCTCTTCAAACCGAAGGTTATTTTAGGAGTTCATTTGGGTTTTCTTGGGTTTGGTTTTTGGGTTTTCTTTGTTTTCGATCGAATTTAAGAGTTTTCATTTCACTAGCCAAAATCGCTTTGTCAATCAAAAGGAGTACGTTGTTGAGAGGAAAAAAACTGCTGAATGAATGTCTTTTAGAGGTTTGTAACGAAGTGTTTCATCGCCCAATATCATAATTTTTGTTGTTCCAGGAGCATGAGTATTCAATAGATTCAGTGGTGAATGTGGCCGGTATGCGTGGGCCAATCCATTTGAAGAAACATGTCAAATATCGTCAAGATCACTACAAGTAAATTCATTTCATATTGCTGCCACTTTTACTATTATTGTTCTGATATTGACAGTAATACTTATTATTACTATTATTATCAGTATTATTAATGTGATGATGACATAAGTGAACAGTTACTATTTATGATATCGTACAAAATTGACTAAATCGATGATTAAAATCGAATTGAGTTCGTCTATCGATAATATTTCTTTTGCAGTGTTCACTGGCAAGCAAAGCACGGCAATGTAATTGTCTACGAGATAATCGGCAGTACAAACGGCAAATTCGGTGCACCGCAGAAGATCGATCTCGATGTGAAGTCACAAAAATTCGATCCAAAGTTCCACTATCATTTGGTGAGTAGTTCAGTGAGCATTCAATGAATGCTTAATTTCAAATTCGATCATAATTTCAGTGTCATTTTGTTCGTAAGTTGTCAACAAGCGATTACTTCTTTATTAAAGTTTGAGACTATCAAGCGTAATGTCATTAGTATCGCAAATAGTGCCGAAATTATCATTAATATTCAATAAATGACGTGATTTATGTGTTGTGTTTCGAATTAATACCGTTATATAATCATTATTTATATAAAATGTTATAATAATAGTATTGTTATTATCTGGATTTATCACTCCTGCAGGCTGGAAACGTGCAACCGACAGCTGATACGATGAAGCTGGATGCGGTGATCAAGAAGGACAATCGTCAAGTGGCGAAAGGCGATATCCTGGTTCCGAAGAATTTCAAGGCTCCATCGCAGAAATATTCTGGTCATTTCGATTGGACTTACGAAAATGTTCGACTTTTCGATCAGTTTCTGAACTCTTACTTCGGCTTTTCACTCAGAATTCAATTGAAAAACATTGTATTCTGAGTTTCTCATACGACTGCTGTATTGAAATTATCGCACGTTTAAGAAAATGTTTTGGAACATTCAAGTCAAGTCATTTTAAGTAAATATCCGATAGGGATGAAATTCGATCAAAATCTGGATAGGTTATGAATGAAGTGTACTGCATT